ATATAACAGTAAAATGGAAATTTCTCTTGGAAGAAAAAGATTAGCAACAGAACGACAACGAAGGTGATGACAAAGCCTATTTCAAGACCAAATTGAAACAAAACAATCACTTAATAGACAAAGGTATCTGAGTGTCTCGTATGGTAAAGGAACAGATTAATTAAATAGTTCATTTTGTCTGGGAACTAATTTTGTCTAAATACAAATAAATATTTTATTTTTATAGATTATTAAAATGACTAAAGGAAGTAATCACTCATAAATTTACTAACTTAAGCTGATCTACCTCACTTCCCACTACAGATGGGACAGGAAATATATAAATAAATACACATTGATAATTATTATATGGATTGATGATTGATGTTTTGGGTAGATTTGTTAAAAAAGAAGATACATAAAGAAAATATGCTTAAAAACAAAATTTTATTGTCAAAAACTGTGTTATTGTTAAGAGGAAAGATCAAAGGAAATTTTATCTAAAATTTTTTCCTTTTGGAAATTTTGGTTAAAAATTTTGTCTTGTTTTGCACCAATGCAAGACATTAAACTTGTATGGGAAATTTGAGCATCTTTATGAAATAAAAACCAAACCAATTTGAAAATTCTTGCAAAAATCAGCTAATTGTCAGATATGAATTAAACTTAATGAATTATGAATTAAAGAGAGGTGAAGTTTTGAAATCTTTCTTTTTCAGAAAATCTTTGTCAAAATTTATTTAATATCTGTTACTCATTTAATTTTATGAAATTTCAAAAAATTCTTTTTTGTATATGTTAATGTTTATATTTGTTAAAAGAACAAGTCCTCAGAGAATTTAAATCAAAGTTACAGAAAATCTGTCTTATTATGAAATAAAAATGCAATAAAACTAAAGCATTTATTTAATTAGAAAAGCTTTTAAGAATAAAATATGTTATGAACACTTAAATAAAAAAAAATTTTCAATGAATAATGAATTTGAAAATTTTAATTAAAATAATTTATAAACATTTAACATTTTGTATCAATTGGTAGTTACTAAGTAATATTGTCATTAAATTAAAACTATTTAATAATCATAAATGGAAAAGTTTGTTACAAATCAATGACCCCCAGTATTTTAAAAAGAATTTGGAATTTTTTGTGTGCATATATGTGTCAATTTTTATAAATACAAACATCCATTAAAAAAACCAAAACAATTTAAAAAATTTAAAATTTATTTATTGGCCAAATTAATAAAATTTTCTCAACAGACATCTTTATAAAAAAGGCCATAAAAAGTTGATGTAGAAAAAATTTTTAAAAATTTTTAAGAATATTTAAAAGTTTTTAAGATCTCTTTCATTTATTTGATAGTTAAAACTATTTTATTTAAAAAAAGGCATTTATATTATTAAAAGTCAACTGGAAAAGTTTAAATCAGTTGTTTAATTAATTCAAATAAAGTGAAAAAAAGTATATTTTATTTTTGAAATATATTTTTTAAAAAAGAAAATTGTGTTGACAGATCTGTCAATATACAACAAATTTTTTGACAATTTTTACTGACAAAAGATAAAAAAAATTTTCAATCAATTTAAATTCAGTTTGAAATACACCAAAATATTTTGCTTATTGGGAACATTAAATTTAATTTATTAGCTTGAAATTAAAACTCAAATTAAAACTTGAAGAAAGATTTTTCATTTTTTTAGTTTTATTTTTAAATAACAGGACAGGTCAGGTTCTATAGCTTTGGATGGCAACTGGTCTACCACAGAAAGAAATGGCAACCTACCTGGGAAAAAATCTAATTCATCAGTAATGTATCAAAAGATACATGATCACCTAAGTTTTCCATATAAAATGGTACATAATAAAATAAAGACTATTTTGGGGAGAAATTGACCTACACATTTTAAATCATGATGTAGCCTTTTTTTAGAAGTATCTATATAAATTTTAGAAGTATCTATATAATTTAATCACTGCAAAGAAAAAATCATCGATATATTTCAGTTTACATGGTATTTTTTTATGCTTGTTCACCCAATGCACTGGTAGAGGATTATGGAATGAGATTGCTACAAGGGCATAAAGGAAGGAGGAAGAGGCACATATTATGAAAATATGTAGGATAGATATGAAGTTGAAATTAAGAATTAAAAAAGTAAAATTGAAGTCCAACCTGGGAATAAAAGATTGGGAGTTTTTTTCTTCCCCAGTTTTTTTGAACAGGGTATAGATATATTTATCCTTATTTCTGTTTAGGATTAAATTTTTGTTCTTTCTAAGGTCCACTTCACTGATATACTTTTAATGTCTCTAAAAGTCTGAACTTTTAATTTGTTGGAATTTAATTTAAGAACATATTTTCACATTCTTGCTATTTTTCTATCCTCAGTTCCAACTTTTTTAATTTCAAAAGTTTATAAAGGCCTTGATTCTTATCAGAGATAAGAATATATTTTCTAACTAAGGAGAGAGCTGGAAAATAAAAGGAATTCTACCACCATTATACTTTCCATGGTGCCATAAAGTCTGGGAGAAACCCACAGCTAAATGTACTTCAACTTGTTTTCAGTACCTTCAAAATAATCCCAGAGCCCTGATTTTTATCAGAGATAAGAATGTATTTTCTGACCAATAGAGGGGCCAGGAAATTTGTCAACAACAATTTTGGAGGAAAGTTCCTGATCCATTGAGCTTTAACAAAAACTCCATAAATTTAGAGAATCTTGCCTATTTCGACAGTGAGATTTCTGCCCACATTGTGAGGTTGACATTAGGAAACTCCAGTGTATTTTTCACCAAAGAAGAACTATTAAAATGTCAAGAACGAACGTTCTTTCCATTATTCAAGACCAATTAAATTTGCATCCCTTCACCACCCTTCTGATAAGACCACTGTTTTTTCTGTCAAAAAAAAAAAAAACTCACTCAGCTGAAGGATTCCTTTTATCTCAGAACAAATTTCCAACTCTACAAGAACTGTGACAGTATCTATCTGAACCTTAACAATAATATCTAATTTTTAAAGAACTGTTTAGGCACTCAGAGAAATATTTTGAGTAAGCCTTTTTTTTTTTCTTTTCCCTTTTTCCTAATTGTCCTTTCATCCCTTTTTTGTTTTTTTTTTTTGTATATTTGTAAATAAACAGTTTCTTCTTTTTTTTGTTACTTCATTGCAGCAGGAGTTTTCTTTTATTCAGATTTTTAAAAGAGAGAGTTTGTTCACTCTAATGCCATTTTTTTACTGTGATATTTTTTTTCTTAAAATTTTTAAACCTCAACCCTTTTGATACAGGGAAAGCCAGGACAAATTTCCAGCAAATTACTATTTATTGTTTTTTTTCCTCAATAGGTGTGCCTGTTGTCTAGTTCACTTTGTTTCCCCATTTCCAGTTCCCGCTAAAGTTTTTTTTTTCCTGCTCTTTCACTTTCAGTGGCTCCTTCAGTCCTAGTGGCATTAGTGCCTTACTTGGGGGTGGTGCGTCTTATTCTGTAACCCCCTATCTTGAGTGGTTCTTGGGCCTTGTACAGAGTAAACATCATAAATAAAAAAATAAATAAAAAATTAGTGAATAGATATCGGTTGGCCCCAGACTTGAAGATAATAAGATTGTAGTGGTTGGAGAACCATCCTCTTTGGGGTGGGAGGGAGTCTGTTCTGCAAAGCAACAGTTCTGGGGAAGAAGCCTAGGGTCAAGAGTTGAACTTCCTCCTGTAACTAAAGGAATACGAATGGTTAATAAGCCTTCGGGGAATATTTTTCCTCTCACCGCATATTATGTATGTCAAACATCCCCTCCATTATTTCCAATACATAACATTTCAATTCCAAAGGAGGGCTTTGAAGACGAAGTAATTTTTTTTTAATGCAAGGGAGGTAATTCAGTGTTTCCTATACAAAAATTATTCAGAGCGGTAATCCAACAGTAACCGCTTAAGCCTTAAAGTGTAACACAACACTGCACTGGAAAAAAATTATTCTGTCAGAGGGAAAATCGACAGGCAACATCGACTGCAGGAAGAAATGGTTTTCATGAGTCTCAGTTTAACCCACTATTGAAAGAGTTTGATCGTTAAACACTGTATGTCCCACGTGTTTCGTGCTAGAGACTACCACATGGGATAAAAAAATGATAATCAACTTGCAAGAAGGTAGTCAGGCAGACCATTAAAAAATCCTCATTGAAAAAGAGGTAGCTCCAGAAACTACCAACAATAAAAAAGTAGATTATTAAAAATGATATTGTTTTAGCAAAGGAACTGAAGTTATATACAAATTAATTCTGAATTAAAAAGAACATCTGTTTTTGAACAAGTGAAGTGGATAATTTTACACCGCTTCGTTTTCTTCTGTTCACGAAAACTTGTTTTAAAGAAAGTTACTAACCGACTACACGACTTATGAAATGTTTCAACAATGCATCAATTTTTTTTTTAAGATGAAGCTTTTTTTTTTTATTTAAACCTGTTTCTCTTTCATCTTTATTTTATAATCAAAAAGTCAGAGGCCAGTGATTTAGCAAAAGGAACAAATAAGATTTAAAAAAAAGAGAACGAAACTTGTCTGAATTTAACAAGATAAAAAAGCAGAATAAAGGCCCGTTCGCGCGCGCGCACACACAAAAGATTAAAAAATGAAAAGGGGATATTTATTATTCTATTTATTATTTTTATTTTAAAATTGAAAACACAAATTTTAGCAACAAACTAAAAACACCTTGAAACAGAAGAAAAATTGAAACAAATAACTGGATTGTAGAAAAAATGTAGGAAAAATTATTAAATTTTTCTTTTAAAAACTTAAAAAAATGGAGTCAAAAGAATATGTATTTTCTTTAAAGAATTTGAATTTCTTTGATGAAATAAATTAATTTAATGAAAAGATTTAAATTTCATCAAAATTTTGCAGGGAGCTTGTGATTTTAAAACGTCACTGAAAAAATATAATGCAAATCAGAATTATTAAATAATCTCTATGAAGTTACAGACGATAAGAAGAAAATAATGACTGAAACATACTTACTTGCAATTGCCGTTATTTTTCGGAATAATCTGGCTGAAATAGACAGAAGATGTCCTCGCTCTCCAATGCCATTTTTTACCAGGAAGAGTAAAAGATGAACAATCCGGAATGTCTTGTATCAGTTGATCGATCAATTGTTTATGAGACCCGCCACAAAAGGGTTCAATTAAAAGATAAGTACACAGACTCTGTTCCTCTGCCATCTTTCCTTTTAAAACTTAACTGTAAATAAAGCTCAAAATACAAAAGATTTATAATTTCCTAGGTGTCATTTTTACCAAGCGGCAAATATATATTCTTTTGTTTTTTTGTTTTTTTTTGGCGCTGATCTTAAGAAACCTCAACGAAAATAAACAAAACCGGTGTGTTTGAAAATTGTTCCCCCGTCCACATGGAAGACGACCACTTCCGCCGGAAGTTATTTTCTCATTTAAAAACCAGAAGTTTTACATTATTTAAATTAACTAATATTTTTTTTAAAGTTTTTATGAGATAGCTCATATTTTTAACATTTTACAAAAAACACATCAGTAATTAAATAAATTAAATTAAAAATCGAGTTAACTTCCTCTTTTTTTTTTTTTTTTTTTTTGCTTGACTTGATGTCATGTCTCTTTACACTATTTCCTGTCCCTTGTAAATTTTGTCTTTTCGTTATAAACCCTATTCTTCTATACTTTTACACAAGCACGCAAGGTAAATGAAATAAATTGTGGGGAAAATGAAATGAAATTAAAATAATAAGGAATAATAAAAGAAAAGGAAATACAATAATGCTAGTATGGTATAGAAATGAAGTAAAGGCCAAATTTACTGCCAACAGTATACCATTTATTGCTGACTCCATTTGGCTACACTACAGTGTTTAAAATCGTTGACTATCATCATAGTTCTTTTGTGTGATTTGAGAGTTCATACGGGGTTGTTTCTTCTGGTTGACAAATTAATTCATTGCATTCATCTTTTCTTCTTTCTCTTCTGGAGTTGTACATCAGGTCAAACTCACATATGAATCGCCAACTATTATGCAAGGCCTCAAATAATACCTCAAATCCAGTTCCTCTCCATTTGTGCATCATTTAGTAAATTGTACATGGTTTTTTCAATATTTTATAGGGGCTGACACATCTGTGTTTCCTGTTTCGATTTTTGGCGGGACATGTTGTCATTGGCTGTTTTTTTTTTATGATGCTCACTGACCCACATAAACTAAGTCTGACTTCATGTCCATTGCCAAGGATAGGAACAATAGAAGGAAGGAAAAGAAAAGAAATATATAGAAGAGAGGGAGAGAGAGTTTTCTTTGTCACTCACTTAGTAAAGAGGAGAGTGTATTTTTTTTTGTATTGTGTTATTACTAACTAATCATACTACACTGGTAATAAAAGAACCAGAAATATGATTACTCCACTTGGGTTCATCAAACACCCATTAGGAGATGCTGTTTAAGTCTATAAAAAAACAAATATTTCTTCTCTATCTCTTTCTGTCTCTTGTTCGAAACTGTAGCAAGCCATACAACAGGCACGTTCGTTTCCCTGGTCCACTAATGACTGAACTTTTTCCGCTTTCCAACACTAAGTGTTCAGACATGGCTTGCAGTTCCACTCATGAAGTAATTTGGTCTTTTCAAATCAGTGAAGTTGACTTGAGCTTAACCATTTCAACCGTTATTATCCTTACTTATCCTAACTTACTCCTGTACCAGAAAAGAGAAGAAACATGCCCAAAAGACATTGTGGACTTTGTTTCTCTACACCACGACAATTACTATAAAGAAAAAAGAATAAATGGTCCATAGTAGAAAACCAAGATTTTGTATGCTTCTTTCTAGGTGTGTATGTATGAACATGCACTCACCTACAAGACACCAATACACAGTTTTTAAATTCCATACACTGTTTTTCACCATCGCACTTACCTTCAATATATACTGTGAGTGACAGATTTTCCAAGCCCTCTTTCTTTATTATGTGGCCTAGAAATTTCAACTGATTCTTTCTCATGTTAAGAAATATTACCCTTGGGAGCTTTTGACATGTTTGTTTAAATTTTGACCATTGTGTAGTATCAAGGCTTTTTTAGCAGTCACTTCCACTTAGATTTAAACTTTTCAGGTCAGTTTTTAATGTTAATGTTCTTGCATCGCCTAAAATGCTATCAACAACTACTATTGTGTTCCTCTGTCCCTTTCTTTCTTTCTCTTTTCTCCCTTTTTTCATTATCCTCTTTTTCGGTCCTGTATTCAGGCAGATTTTTTTTTTCTCCTATCTTTTCTATTATTCTATCATCTTCTTTTTCCCCCTTTTTTTCTTCCTTCTCTTTCGAATGTTTTATGAGTTATTTTATTTTTAAATTTTCTTAACTCTTATATTTCTCTTCCTTTTTTCCCCCATTTTTTAACTTCTGTTATTTTCTTATCCACTTGTTTTTGCTTTTACTGGCTTTCTTCTTATTATTTTTTACTTTTACTTTTACAGAAACACTTTCATGTTTTTCCTTTTATGGTGTTTCTCCTTATGGTTTTCCCCAAAACAATTTCAATAATGAGAAAAAGAAAGATGTTCCATAGGCAACATTTTTAAATAGAATCAGTGATAACCATCTTTGTTCCTCACCTGTCAAGACGCTACCACATCAAAACAAAAATGCATCTTTGTCATGAGTGTTCTGCCTAAAAAAAATAATTTTATCATACACATATATATACACACATACATACACATATATATATATATAAACACACAAAGAAATATATATATTCAAATTATATAAATTATTATATATATATACATATATGGCACCTGCATTTATTGGAAATATTCATAGAAATATGAGTTAATTAATTTTTTCTTATTCAGTTTATTAAACAGGTTGTTAATTTTTTTTTCTTAAAACGGAAAATAACTGGGGTTTGAAAATAATTCACTAAGAATGTACTAAACGATCCTAAAGCAAGGAAAAAAAGAAAGGAAAAGGAAGAAAGGAAGATAATAAAAAGGGGGAAAGAAAGGAAAAGACATGATATCAAAACAGCCGCTGGGTGGGACAGATGTCGGTCAGAGCTCTGACTGACCTTAATTTTTTGTTGAAAGAATAGAATTGAGATATCGGTCGCGAGCGCTGACCGACATTTAAATAGAAGAATTTTATCAAAATAACGAAAGGTAACTTTAAATTAGAATAATAGAAAATGAATTTTACTTTAGTCAGAGAGAAAGTGTTTTTGGGTTGGGGGAAGTGACTGGTGAAAACGATATATTGGAATTGACCTGTTAAGAATTGGACACCCACGTTAAGAAAGTAAAGATATTTCGACCTAGATAATTAAGATTCTCGGCTATCAGGAAAAACAAAGAGGTAAAAAGAAGAGCAATTGTTTTTGGACCACGGAGGGCGCCAGGAAGGCGGAAAAGATCCTTTCTAAAAGTCAAGACTAATTAGCAGCGGGCTGTTTGACAAAGTCCAGGTGAGAGAGGGTAAGGATTGTCATTTTTGCGTACGTGCAAAAAGGTGCGAATCGATTTTGTTTTTTTAAAACCAGCACGATGTAACCACACCCGCCAACAAAAGGGAGAGGGTGTTCGGTCAATAACAATTGGTCGAATACAATCACGTGACCGCGGAAGAAGAAGGAAAGAAAACCTCGATCAATAACTGTTGGACGAGGCGGTCACGTGGGCTGCGGAAAAGAAGAGAAAAGAAAGGTTCGATCGGGGAACGATTGGTTGAGAGCGATCACCTGACATGAGAGAGACTAAGAGAAATAGATATACGCCGCCCCCCAAGAGCACTGTGAGAAAGTAGGGTGAAAACAATAACGATAATGGAAAGTCAAAATTAATACGGCTTTTGAAATTATCGAGAAACCCCTGACGCCGACCGACCCACCCCGGTTTGTTGCGGCGTCAATATAAGCAGGACCCCAGTCGGCAGAAATCAGTTGGAGCTGAAGTTGAGTTGAAGTTGGAGTTGAGGTTGAGGCGAGTTGCAGTTCACAGTTCACCCGGACGACGGAGAAGAATCCTCGAAACAAGAAATCCTTCCAACCCAAGTTGAAGACAAGAAATCTTCCACCGAATTGAAGCAAGAAATCTTCCACTGAATCGAAGCAAGAAATCCCTTCCACCGAAGTTGAAGACAAGAAATCTTCCACCGAATTGAAACAAGAAATCTACCAGTCTAAACAAACGAAGAAGAAGAAATACAGTTCACGTCGAAGAGAAGAACCAACTGCGAACGACTGATAGAAATTAGCCCAATGTCGAACTGAACCACACGCCGACATACATACATGATTCTAGAAAGTAGGTAGTTCGACATTTTTTTTTTTTGCTATTTTGTGATAGAAACTTGGTGCCATAGTTCACAGAACGGGTCGGGAATTGAGAACAATTTTGTTTTTATGTAACGGACTTTGAGATATAAAAAGGTTGTTACCCTTTTTATCGGCAATTTTGTTTGGTGTTGTGAGTTTTATTTTATTTGTGTTTGCCACCCCGTCGGACTCAACTTTGTATCGGCCCCGATCCCTGCTGGTCCCGTCTGTTCAAGATCTAAACACAGCGTGGGTAGACAGACCGAGATCGGTATAGTTGCTTTAGTGACCAGGTATTGGAAGCGAGTCGGGAAAAGGCGAGGCTGGTGATCATCTGACCAAAGGGTTGGAGCGGCACGCTTGGACCCAGGAGGAGCGACAGGAGGAGCGACGTCACCGTTGGCGCCAAACCAAAGGATCCGACACTGGGGCCAGGTGTGTAACCGTCACAAGTGGTGCGTGACCAACGGATCAACCCTGAGACAACCACGTCACAAGTGGTGCCGTGGTGGGGATTTTCGGCCCTGAGAAGACCACGATCGGCCGCGCCCGTTGCTGAAGGTTCACAGAAATCAGAACGACCGGGGACCAAAGGAAAAGAAAGAACAGAGTCGTCTGTAAGGTAGGACACCTTTGTTTATTTCCCTACCTCGATTGTTGCTCTCTGTGGACATATGGGATTATGAGTCGGATAGAGCAGTGGGGGGTGAAGAAGAAGTAGGGCGGGGGTTGTCATGGTAGATTTAGGGGGCTGTTGGGGCGGACCGAGGGTCCCAGTGTTTGATGGTAGGGAAGGAGTTCAGGAACTGGCTGACAATCCTCGAAAAGCATTGAACCATCTACGACTCTCGGACCAGGGAAACCTGTACCTGGCATACGATGCCA